ATGATTTGTTTTATTTTGATATTGTGTTGTGTTTCTACGCGTTTGTAAAATTCTTTAAATTTCTGAAAAGTTTCATCTTTATGTTTTAATGTGTAAACAAATCCATAACGACTATAATCGTCCACAATGGTTAAGAAGTAACGTTTTTTATAAGTGATTGATGGAGTTAGTGGACCAACCAGGTCCATGTGTACTAAATCAAAAATTTTGTTGGTTGACCTTGTTGATTTTCTAGGCCTGGGACTAGTTTTGAGTTTTGTAGACTTACATACTGAGCATTCCAAATAGTTTTCACAATTTTTTATTTTAACACCTTCTGCGTGTTCAGTCATTTTTTGTACTACAGGAAAACTGGCATGTCCTAACTTCCTATGTAAAACATGAGCACACTCATCATGAATTGGCTTACCTATTTTTGGTTTTTTCTCATTATGTGCATCCTTGTGATTATGAGCTACTTTACATTCATCATTGTCACTGTTACTAATGTTTTCATTATCTGATTCAATACAATCTTCCATATTTGAATCAATGTTGTGTAACCATTTCTCCTTTGTTATTAAATAAGGTAGGCCTCCTTTAATCATTACTGTACCTATATCTATTTTATTTTTCTCCAAAGTCGCTTTTCCTTTTGAAAACACAATATTAATAACAGAATCTCTGCTTAGTTTTATGGCACTTAGTATGTTATGAGGTATTTCAGGTATTAGTAATACCCCCTCTATTTTTCCTAGGCCAGGTAAGGTTACATTTCCTCTACCTATTACTTGGACCTTTTCTTGGTTAGCTACCTTTATTACAAATTTATCTTCTACAAATGAAGATAATATACTTTTATTATTAGTGGTATGATTAGTTGCTCCAGAATCAATAAGCCAATTATTGTTCTCAGTTTGCTGTATGTTAGTGTTGTCTTGTTTGTTTAGTCCATTCATTGAACCAGATTTTCTATCCTTTGAATTATCTCTGCCTCCTCTATGCTCTTTATAATTTAGTGGGCTTCTATATCTATGTCTATCAATGGAAGACTGTCTATAGTTGTATTTATTTCTGTGTTCTGACCTATGTCTTTCTTTTGGAATTTTGGGGCAATCTCTCCTATTGTGTTCCTTGGATCCACAGTTGTGGCATTTAAATGTTTCATGATATCTTTCTTGAAAATCTACCTTTCTATATGATTTGTGTTCTATGTGGTTGTTAGAGCGACTCCTCCTTGAATTGTCTTCAGCTATTAACTTATTGGATAGACTTTCTATGGATAAGTATCCTAGATTGATTGTGTCTAAATGTGACATATAATTATCCCATGATGGGTCAAGTGAGTTGATGATAACACTTTTCATCGTTTGGTCTGAAATCACCTCCCCCCTTAAATGCAGTTCAGCTCTAATTTTGTTTAAAGATATTAAATGTTCACTTATGGAAACCCCTGGTTTTATCCTAGAAGAAAAGAAATCTTTAGACATTCTTGTGGTAGTAGCTACACTATCACTGTGAAATAAATTGAACATGCATTGAATAATTTCTGAGACAGTCAGATTTTGCTTAATGCTGTGATACATTGCAGGAGATACACTAGAAATTAATAAGAAAAATGCTCTATGGTGTAAGCAGTCTAACTTTAGAGTCCAAGGTCTTTTGGGGGGATTAGTGATAAAAAACAGTAAGTTTTCTTTCATAAAGACAACCTGGAGCTGCTGATACCATTCTTGTAAATTAATGCCATCTATTCTCAGCTTTGGGAAGTCACTGGGCAAGTTTCCGACATTATTGGGTCCATTACTTACAACCGGGGGTAGTCCGTGGTCTCGTAAATGCTGGAAATTACAAAACGGCGTGGGGATGCTCACAACGAGTCTGCATGATCCTTTCAGCAACTCATGTCTTCCTGGACCGTCTGCGTAGTCCTGCGCATGCGCGTTGCTCATTTCATTCCTGGAGTCGTCGTGAGAGGTTCTCGTCGTTGCGGCTCGCTCGCTCTGCTCCTCCTCAGATGAATCGGTCTCCGGCTCGATCTTGGGAGTCCTGACGATGGCGGTTGTTCTTTTTCTTCTCTTGAGAGCGTTGGTGCTTGCATCGATCTGCGGTGTGGGGCGGTATCTGCAGGGCTCTCTGGGTTCAGGCGTCAGTGCTCTCGTCGTCAGGATGGGAGCGGGTAGATTTTGAGGCGTTGGTTTGCTCGCTTGTTTTCTAGTTGATTTTTTGGTAATCTTTAGTTTCGGTCCAAATGCAGCAAAAAGCGTTTTCATTGCTGACTTTATTTGTGTGTCTGTTGGATCACCTTCACTTTCCGATTCTGATCCTTCTGAGGTGTTTGACTTTTCTTTTTCATTTTCGTTATCTAGTAATGTCTTTCGCGCCAGAAATTTTGAATCAAGTTTTCTGATTGGCTCTGCTTCGCTCACCCTGGAGGTCTGTTGAAACCAAGATGGCTGCCATTCGAAATTTTGCGCGGGATCACCGTTTTTCTTCTTCACAGCATTTTTGTCTGTAATCGTATCACTCACTATTTTTGAATCTTTTGGCTTTTCAGTAGCGATGTGTTTCTCTCTCGCTGCTCCGCTGTTTTTCAGCATATCTTGGAGGTTCGCGATGAGGCTTTCATCGTTCTTCTGGCTTTTTAACAGTTTTAATATCTCTGACCTGAGTTCGTTGTTTTCTATTTTGTTTTCCTCTCGGTCATCATTTTCGTTTATTATTTCTTCGTCTTCAGTGGTGTATTCTTCAGATTCTCTCAAAATCGCATTTGTGGACTCATCGATTATTTCTTGATCCGTTTCCATTTCTTTGCTGTATGCCCTGGTGTTGGGCCTATCTCTCTTAGACATATTTAAGTTTTTATTGAGTCAATTCAACCATCCTCTGCTACCAGCTTGTTGCAATGTTTTCAGGATCAGACTCAATAAATCATTCAAGAATTAATAGTTCAAATATATCTCTCTTTATTTACACAAGGCATTCTATATTCACTGAATGTTCACAGATAGAAGCCAGGAATGAGTGCGTGCAGCTCCTTATATATACAATGGGTGGAGCTAGATATGGGAGTGGTGAAGTATGAATACATTAAGAAGTGAAGAATAAATTAACCCCTGATATCTCGTTCATATACTATTTACATATTGGAGAATAAGGCATTTACTTGTGACAAAAACAATCTATCACACTTGACAAAAAAATACTGGTTCAGGTATAATAGGTAGTAAAAAAATGCTGAGGATCATGCTGCATAACTGATTGTCACAGCTTGATTGTTGGAACCTTTTAAAAACTTTTTAAAGCATTTTTTTTACTACCTATTGCCCGAACCGGTAGTAAAAAAATGTTTTAAAAAAGGGGGTGGGATCGAGTTCGGCCGATCAGCTGTGCCGCGCTATTGTTGGAACTTTTTTTTTTTTACTTTTTAAAGCATTTTTTTAGTAGTCTTTTAATTCTGCAGCTGTTATAATGTGAAACCAAGATTGAATGACTGCTTCTATTAACTGGGTTTTATTGCTGGGCCGCTTCTGACTAAGAAGTTTCTTTAGTCGGCTCCATAGATAAAATGTGTTTATTAGAATATATCTCGGGTTTATTTTCTTAAGGTATACTTGCAAGGAAAGGCCACGATCCATTCTCTGATCAAGGTGCAATTACCCAAAAGCAGAATGGGATTAATTGCCACCCTGACAGCCTGGGCTATTCCCAGGCCATTCCAGTAGTGGAATATGATTATCTTGAAACTCCAAAAAAAAAAAAAGTGGTGCTATTAGCCATCAAACCTCAAAAATACACTTTTCCTGAAAGGTTTCCACAATTTTGGCCACTACTGTATGTTCTATCACCATCTCGGAGAAAGTGTTTTTCCGTTGGATAGCTGACTGCCAGGCATTGATGACTGCCTGCGAAGGTTCCTGGATTGGGGCTGAAAGGCGAAAGCAAAAGCAGTATGCTCCGCCCATATTTGGGTAGACCTGGTTGCCCTGATAGACCGGTCCCACTGGAAAAACACTTAATCTCCCCCCTGGTACAGCCAACAAAGCGAAGAGAGCCCGTGGCCTAGAGGTTAATACATCTGCCCTAATATGCAAGTGGCCAGGATTCGAATCCTAGACTCGACTAGCTGATGAGAGCTAAACAGCTTGAAATAGCTGTTTCCCTAGCCTCCCCTTATTTCTTTGTCGATAAATTCAAATTTAACACTATCTCAGTTCCGTTTCACGTAGGTTCACTTTCACGTAGGTCAAACTTTCAACTTCACTCTAACTATCAAGTCTATCTGCTCTATGGATTAACAAGTGACATCAACTTGTTTTTCCTATTCTAGTTTGTAAAAAAAAAAACTATCGCTGATTGCTTTTCCTTGCAATTATCAGAAGAACAGCAATTAATGTATCCCCTGTGGATTTCTACCCACAAGAATCTTCCAAGATAAAACCTGCTTTAAATAATATGCATGATATTTGCAAGACTGTGTCACCTTACCTGGTCTTGCAAAAGAGAGAACTCATGGAATTGGCGAGATTCAGTTGGCCTTAATTTTCTCTTTCCTGAAAGCTGAAACACAGGTAAGAGGAAGAGTTGATATAGATTTTGCCCCTTAGGCCATTCAGGTCAGGGGTGAAATCCAAAATTTTTCCCTACCGGTTCTGTGGGCGTGGCTTGGTGGGCGTAGCAGGGGAAGAATATTGCAAAATCTCCATTCCCACCCCATTCTAGGGGAAGGATACTGCAAAATGTCCATTCCCTCTCCTCCTGGGGGAAGGATATTACAAAATCTCCATTCCCACCCCATTTTGGAGCCAGCCAGAGGTGGTATTTGCTGGTTCTCCGAACTACTCAAAATTTCCAGTACCGGTTCTCCAGAACCTGTTAGAACCTCCTGGATTTCACCCCCGATCCAGGTGGCATGTCCTGTCTCTATTTTCTAAAGCTTTGGTGACATTGCAAGTGCTACATGCAATTTAGATTTGACATAAACCTTGATTTCTGATCTAGGAGGGAAGGTGAGAAGAAGAATGACTGGGCTGCCTCTCCTGCTGCTGTTGCTTTTCTGGCTCCTGCCTCCAACTTCTACTAAGAAGATGGAAGCTGGGTGTGTGTTGACAAACCCTTACCAGATTCAGGAAGACTATTACAGGCCTGGTGATTTCATTATTGGTGGGAATTTGTTCATGAATACCATTATTTCCTCCACCATCCTAGACTTTACAAAGGACCCATACCGGATTCCAGTTAATATTTTGTATGTTTCATCTGGAGAGGAAAGATCCCCACAACACTGTCAAACTATTTGCTAAGACTGTATTATTATTATTATTCTCATCCTTCCTATTACCTATCTCCTTTTCTACTTATGACTATAATTTTGTTGCTTGTATCTTTACGATTTATATGGTTTTACTTAGTTTCCTAGTATGATTTTTGTTGATTGCTTATTTAGTATCCTATGACTATTACTAGGTGCTGTATCTTATGATTCATGAGGAATGTATTTATGATGACTATGATCACAATTTATCACATATCTTTGACGTACACTGAGATCTTATGCACTGAAGACAAATTCTTTCTGTGTCCAATCGCACTTGGTCAATAAAGAATTCTATTCTATTCTATTCTATTCTATTCTATTCTATTCTATTCTATTCTATTCTATGTAAATGATTGCTTTGTTTTGGGTTCAGGGACTCTTTTTCAGAAATGCTTGTTCTAGTTATGTTTGCAGTGTCCTAATGTAATTCAAATCTTTGTGCTGTTCTCAATAAAGAGAAAAAAACTCATAAAATAGAGTAGCATTTATAATTTCTTTCCCCAGAACTCATCCAGAAGATGATAAACATTAAAAATCAGGGAGGAACAACATATTAGAAAATGTGTCTAGTGAAGAAGTTGATTTATAATATTAATCTGGACAGAAAGTCATGGTGGAAAACTCCAAGAAAATTTATAGGGTATTTCTCTGTAAATTTAATATTTTTACAGTATGCAGTACCGTAAAAGAAGCCCTTAGTTTGGGAATTAGGAGTGCTCATGATTAATGGCCTTTATTAAAATTATGCTAAGATTCCTTCCCCTGCTCCCCTGAAATATTTTGCTCAGTAATGGTTTCCAGATGTGAAGAAGCTGCTCCAAGAGAGAAACATAGAAACTAGAACAATAGAGTTGAAAAAGACCTTGGAGGTAATAGTTGACCTAAAGATGCAGGTTGTGTTTTTTCCCCCCAAGTTTTTTTTATTTTTTTATTTTTTACAAATATACCAAATCAATGCGTGAACAGTGTGGACCTGGGTATCATACATTCTAATACAAGTAAAACTAATAAAGTTAATTATAATTACTACATTCAATCAACTTATGTTTTTCTATTAATAATACACATTTATATTAGGTTACAGTCTTATTCAATTATTCCATGTTTTCTTTTATTACTTTTATTTTATTATATAAAAATGTATACACTAATATTCCCCCTTCTCTTATTTCTATCACTTATTCCAGCTTTTAATCATGTCACCCTTTATTAAAAAACTTTTTCTTTCTATCTTATCTAATTTCTAATCATGTCACCAACCTAAAAAAGAAAAAAGAAAGAAAAAAATGAGAAAGGAGAGGAAAATCAAATTAGAACAACAAAAAAGAGAAGTCATCTATCCATCGTCTCTTACCTGCTTCAATACTTTAATTGCTATGCAGCTTGTAATGGGCTGCCCGTTGCACCTGTTGTTTTTTTTCTTTTTCTTTCTGATGTGTTCTGTTTTCTCCAACCATCAAAAAGGGCTTTTTTGGGGGGGTTCTTAATTATCACATCAGTCTGTGATATGATAAAGTTTCTTTTGTGTCAAGCTTGCTTCCTAGTAACTTATTTATTTGATTTTTATCCTGCCTTCATTGCTTTATAAATAACTCAGGACAGGGAAAATATCTAATTTGGTCTTCTATTTGAACCCCCTGTTTGAGCAGGAACCCCTATACCATTTCAGACAAATGTTTTTCCAGTCTCTTTTTGAAAGCCTTCAGTGATGAAGCACCCACAAGGCAAGTTCCATTGGTTGAAGGCTCTTATCATTAAGAAATTTCTCTGTAGAATTGGAGATACAGGAAGATATTTTTGAAAGGGAGATAGGGGCCTGGGCAGAAATTTTGGAAACTAGGCAGTGGAAGAGAGGAGAAGTGAGAGAAATATCTAGATTGAACAACCAAGAAGTAGATACCAACAGAGATAAAGTTTCAAGTGAGGAATATAGGAGGCAAGTCAAAAAAAGCATAGCAATTGAAGTATTGAAGCGGGCAAGAGACGATGGATAGATGATATCTCTTTTTTCTTGTTCTGATTGACTTTCCTTTTACTCTCTCTTTCTTTTCTTTTTTTAGGTAGGTGACATGACTAGAAATTAGGTAGGATAGAAAGAAAACGTTTTTGAATAAAGGGTGATATGACTAAAAGTTAGAATAAGAGAAATAAGAGAGGAGGAATATTAGTGTATACACTTTTACATAATAAAATAAAAGCAATAACATGAGAAAATATGGAACAATTGAATAATGACAGTCTGTAACTTAATATAAATGTGTATTATTATTATTATTATTATTATTATTATTATTATTATTATTAATATATAAGATGATTAAATGTAACAACTATGATTAATTTTACTAGTTTTATTTGTATTAGAATGCATGATACCCAATTTTCACACTGTTCATGATATGTTTGTTTAAAAAAAAAACCTTAAAAAAAGGAGAAATTTCTCTGTAAATTTCTCTGTAACCACATCGGTTAGAGTGGAAAAGGAGCAATTTTAGAAAGATTACAATCACCGGAGTAGTGAAGATAGAAGGGGACAATAATGAAGTATAAAACAGTCTTGATATGGAAAGAGAAATTTTTCTCCTTTCTCTCAAGTTTAATGAAGGGACATCCTTAAAAAAAAACAAAGCAAATGAAAGTTTCCTGTAATGTTCTTTAATCTGTTTCTCCCTATAGATTCCTGTCCAAGAACTACCAGCAGTTCTTGACCTTCATGTTTGCAGTCGCAGAGCTCAATGAGGATTTGGTTCTCCTTCCCAACATCACACTTGGCTTCCATATTTATAATAATGGGCAGGCAGACTTGTCGGTATCCTTAAAGAGCCTCTCTCTCCTCTCCACAAGAGGCCAAAGTATCCCAGGTTATAAATGTGACAGGCAGGACTCTCTGCTCTCTGTCATTGGTGGTCTCAGTGCCAAATCCTCAAGGCAGATGGCCTCCATCTTCAGCACCTTCAAGGTTCCACAGGTAAGGAGGCTCCACTGGGGACATTATGGAGTAGAAAAACTAGAGACCCAAAAAAGAAACCAAGGTCTTTTGGGCAGATTACCTCAGGCATGTATGACTTAGAGGATTGACGTTACAGTTAAACTCATTTTTTTATGTTTCATGATATGATTTTTATTATCCCAGAGAGACAGATAATGTGATAATTGTGAGATGCTGGACTGGCCAAGAAGAATTAATTCATGACTTTCATAGCCAACTTTCAGTGCAGTTTATTCTCTGGATCAGGGTACTGTTTTGTTCCCTTGAGTTCTGACCAGTCACAACTAGGCAAAATATATATCTGGTAGCTTTTCCTAAGAAGCTAACAAGAAAATTTAAGCTTGCCATTCATAGTGACTCTGCCTGACTAGTATTGTTGGAAGAAATGTCCTTCTGGGTTCAGTTCCAAGTGGGGAAAGAAGACACTGGAAACATGGAGACTGCTTGGAAAGATGGTTTTTAATGGTGGACAGGACAACATGGTTTTGAGGTCCTGGGGTGGGGGAAAGGGAAGAGATGCTGAGAGTGCCCCAGTTTTATGCCATCTCTGGGCTTTTGAATTTAAGATTATATTCTGATTGGTTGTCAGAGTCCCATGAAGCCATGCTGGGACAATTCTGTAGGATGTCCTGAGTCCCAAGCTTGGTTGACTCTTGCTGGGTGATGATGTAATGAAAGGGCTTTGGGATTCCTATTATGGCTCTGCCTGAAGGAGGTAGATCTTTGTTATGTAGAATGGACTGGCTCAGGCCTTAATGGCCCATTGACAAAGGGGGGGGGCTCAGTTTCTGCTTCCCTTTTAGTGGAAATATTCTGCCCTTTTAATATTTCCTAAAATATCTCATTTTCCTAGGAGAGGGGTAGGTACTCCTACAGTATAGTGCAGCAAGAAGCCACACAGTTGAGACTTCTAAAATCATCATCAATTTTTACTTTGTCTTTGAAATAAGAATCTCATTTCTTCAGCTTGGTGTTGGCTTTGAGTTCTCCCAGGGAGACAGGACAGTTTATCCTTCCTTCTTCCGGATTAATCCCAAGGAATCTCCTCAGTATGTGGGTTTAGTCCAGCTGCTCCTGTATTTCCAGTGGAACTGGGTTGGTCTTCTGGCCCCTGAAAATGACAGTGGAGAACATTTCATCTCAATGTTGATGCCAATGCTCAAGGAGAAGGAGATCTGCCTGGCCTTCACTGAAAGGTTGAGTACTGACGATCCTGGTATTGCCATGGGGAAATTACTTCATATTTTCAACATTTTGTTTAAAGTTGAAGTGATTATTCTGTATGGAGACTCCAATGGTATTTTATATATACAGGAGGCTGTGTATGCTCTTGGAAAATCAAGAAAGACGTCATTTTGGAAAGTTTGGATCTTAACTTCCCATTGGAAACTTAATGTGTTGGTATCTCGATACATACTACATTTTATAAAGCCCTTCCATGGGGGTTTGCAGTTTCGGGACCACACTGGTGATGTCTCAAAGTTCAGCCATTTTCTCCTGTCTTTAGACCCTTTGAAGCCTCAAGGAGACATTGTTCTCCCACTATGGTGGGAAAAAGTCTTTGATTGCAAGATCCACAAACCGGATGAGATTCCTCAAAAGGGGAAAAAACAATGTACAGGAAAGGAGAATTTACAGGACCTGAAATCTTACGTGTTTGAAACAAGGATGACAGGTGAAAGTTACAATATCTACAATGCCATATATGCTCTGGCACATGCATTACATGTGATGAGGCTTGGAAAGAGGATCTCAGATATCCAGTCATGGCAGGTAATCCCTATAAATTTTTATCAAGGACACAGATCTTTAAAGAGGAAGTCCTCTATGTGCATTTTTTTTTAAAAAAATATTGATTAATTATCTTTATGCTCTCACATCAGTGCATCTCAGAACAGGTAAAACAGCAATTACTAAATAGAATAATGTAAATGAGATATGATCTTTAAACTATCACATCAGTGTATCTCAGAACAGGTTAAAACAGCAATAACTAAATAGAATAATGTAAATGAAATATAATCATTATGCTATCCCATCAATGCATCTCAGAACAGATTAAAACAGCAATTACTAAATAGAATAATGTAAATGAGATATGATCTTTATACTATCACATCAGTGTATCTCAGAACAGGTTAAAATAGCAATAACCAAATAGAATAATGTAAATGAAATATAATGATTTGTTGAAAAGAGGTAGAGGAGGCAAAGAGATCATGTGAAGTACTAATACCACTCTATAAAGCCTTAGTAAGACCACACTTAGAGTCCTGCATCCAGTTTTGGTCACCACACTATAAAAAAGATGTGGAGACTCTAGAAAGAGTGCAGAGAAGAGCAACAAAGATGATGAGGGGACTGGAGGCTAAAACATACAATGAACGATTGCAGGAACCGGGCATAGCTAGTCTAGTGAAGAGAAGGACCAGAGGAGACAGGATAGCAGTCTTCCAATATTTGAGGGGCTGCCACAGAGAGGAGGAAGGGGGTCACGCTACTTTCCAAGGCACCCGAAGGCCAGACGAGGAATAATGGATGGAAACTGAACAAGGAGAGATTCAACCTAGAAATAAGGAGAAATTTTCTGACAGTGAGAATAATCAACCCATGGAACAGAAGTTGCCTTCGGAAGTTGTGGGAGCTTCACCACTGGAAGCTTGCAAGAAGAGACTGGACTGCCATCTATCAGAAATGGTGTAGGGTCTCCTGCTTGGGTGGGGGTTGGACTAGATGACCTACAAGGTCCCTTCCAACTCTGTTAATCTGTTATCTGTTATCTTAGCCCAACTCTCCTTACAGTTGTTGTGGGGAGGAAGGAGGAAGAAGGAGCTTAAGATAGCTTCACCACCTTGTTGAGTTGTTTTTTTTAAAAAGTAATAATAATAATAAAGATGGGAAATAAACAAATTACATACATAAATAAATCACAAAGCAAAACAATACAATGAAATTTAGAATGTGGAATTTAAATAATTAAATCTCATTCTAATAAACTGGGAGCTGAAGAAGCCATTGTACAAATGCCCCTTGGAAAAGAGAACCTTTTCCAGTGTCAGGGTAGGTGTCAAATATTGTGTGTTAATCTTGACTCATATCTCCATCAAAGGAATTCCTGGAGCTTCTTAGACATACATCAGTCTATTAAGATGAGGACCATCCCAGAATGACAGAAGGCCATGATGTCTCATTTGTGTCTCATTGGCCAATTATTCCAATTTCTGAAGGTCTCATTTCTTTCAGTTTCTTGTCTATTTGAGGAATGTGCAGTTCAACAACAGTGCTGGAGAGGAAGTCTCATTCTCAGAAAATGGACTGGGATCTGCTCGTTATGATCTACTCAACTGGGTTCTCCTCCCCAATCTATCTTTTGATCCTGTGAAAATTGGCCAAATAAATCCTGGGGTTCCAACTGGCCAGGATTTCGCCGTTAACTCTGGTGCAATCGTGTGGGCCGCAGAGGTAAACTGGAAGGAAATTTTGTAAATTCAGGAAAGGAATCCCCTGGGAATTCTGAATGTCCTTCTAACCTGAAAAAAAAGTTCTATTGAACCAGAAAAGAACCAATTTTGTTGTATACATGATGTAGAATGACAATAAAGGCTTTGAAAATATTTTTAGAATTGGGTGAAATATCTGTTTTTGAAGTTAGCGAATTTGAGGTCTTGCAAAAGGTCCAATAATGAGTAAGAATAGGAAGAACTTCTGCTTGAAACTCGGGATGCCAATTGATCAGGCAGTGATTTCCATGGACCATTCCTATTCAATTGGGTCATTATGCTTCCTTGTGTTATAAAACCTGTAGTTCAATATCACAAGCCTCCCTATGCATGTCGAGGTCCCATTTCTAAGCTCCAGCATCCATTAGTGGGTTGGGAGCAGGGGTGAAATGCTCCCGGTTTGTACTGGATTGCCCAATCTGGTAGCGATGGAGGCAGGTGGTTCAGAGAATCGGTAGCAAAAATCCCTGGCCCCCCCCGCCATTGCCCAGCTGAGCTGCGCAATCATCAGAGGCTTTTTTTATTATTTTTAAAAGCATTTTTTCTACAACCTCTTCAGCTGAAGAGGTTATAGAAAAAAATGTTTTAAAAGGGAAAAAAAAGCCTCTGCCGATCAGGCACGTCAGCTGCGATTGTCAGAGGCTTAAAAAAAAAGAAAAAGCTCTGCCGATCAGGCAAGTCAGCTGGGATCATCAGAGGCTTTTAAAAGCATTTTTTAAACAACCTCTTCAGCCGAAGAGGTTGTAGAAAAAATGGTTTTAAAAGTTAAAAAAAAAAAGTTGGCCACACCCACTCAGTCATATCCCCACCACCACCACCAAGCCACGCCCACAGAACCGGTAGTAACAAAATTTACATTTCACCACTTGTTGGGAGTGCCAATGGCCTGAACCCCCTGTTAGAGTTTGCAGCAATCCAACCAGCACACAAGTAAATAATTCAGCAGGATTCATGTATAAAAGAAATTTCTTTATATACAGTAATATAGATCATGATACATGTATACAATACCCATGCAGCAGAAGCCAGAACCAGAACTCAGAATCCAGAAGCTATATAATCACAGAAGCAATAATAATCCTTACATATACAATATGCAGTCAAGTGAAGCCAAGCTAACCCACGCCCAGGCTCCCATAACTCACAACAGATCCTGTTTCTTAGTCACCAAACAGTTCCCATTGGCTGACTTGTTATTATGGCTATCCCAGCTCATAATTACACAGAAACCCTCTCTGGAGTTGTTCCAGGTTTGTGCTAAATCCTGATGAACCAGTCCTTTTGAAGACATTTTGCAAATGGGCATAGGAATGTGAAAAATAAATAAATGAAGCATTTCATTGCATAGAGCAGGTAAAGAATTACTTTTTTTTCCTCTTTCAGACCATCCCCTTTGCCAGGTGTGGCATGAAGAGGTGCCAGGCAGGAGAAAGGAGAAGCGTTCCAGAGGGCGAGCAGGTTTGCTGCTACCAATGTAACCCTTGTCCAGAAGGGTCCATTTCTAATCAGACAGGTAGAACACACTTAAATTGAGATTCTTGGACCACGGAAGCCATTCAGTAAATCAAAATATTAAAATTTATTGTCATTTTTGGAATGATTCATGCTTCGAAGTATTCATAATTTTCAGCAAAACGTCTTGGTTTTGTCTCCCACTGCTCACCAGTTTAATGCAGTTTAATGCAGGGTAATTTGAAGGCAAAATTAAGGAGTTTCCTTCTGGCCTTTTCACTCCTACTGTCATACCCTTGGTGTGGTGTGGTGGAGCCTCGGTGGTGCAGCGGACTAAGTGCTGTTAAGTGCTAGCACTTAGCTGCAGCTCCCTGCAATTAGTGCGAGTTCAAATCTCACCAGGCTCAAGGTTGACTCAGCCTTCCATCCTTTTGAGGTAGGTAAATTGAGGACACGGATTGTGGGGGCAATAAGCCAGCTTTGTATAGAACAACACTGCTTAGGGGGGGCCGAAAGCCCTAATAAGTATGTATATACATAAAAGTATGCAGGCTATTGCTATAATGCATTGTAAGCCGCCCTGAGTCTACGGAGAAGGCGGCATATAAATTGTACTAATAAAATAAAAATAAATAAATAAATAAATACCCTGCTTGGAAAACCAACCAGCTCATTTTCCTAAATGAGCAGGGTAGCCCAAATTTTTATTCTTCTTCTCTCATCACTACCAATCTCCCAGGACACTGGTAGAACTGTCATTAAAAGAAGAAACCCATCTAGCCATAACACCTAGACTTATATAACTCTTCATAGTGCTTTTCGGCACTCTCTAAGTGGTACACAGAGTCTAGAGTCCAGCATTTATGATCCAGGCCCTCCTTTATTGACCTTAGAAGGATGGAAGGCTGAGTCAACCTTGAGTCAGTCAGGATCTAACTCCTGGCAGTGGACAGAGTTAGCCTGCAATATTGCATTCTAACCAGAGGTACTATTCAGCAGGTTCTGACCAGTTCTGGAGAACCGGTAGTGGAAATTTTGAGTAGTTCGGAGAACCAGTAAATACCACCTCTGACTAGCCCTGCCCCCATCTATTCTCTGCCTCCCGAGTCCCAGCTGATCGGGAGGAAATGGGGATTTTGCAGTAACATTCTCCTGGAGTGGTGTGGGAATGGAGATTTTACAGTATCCTTCCCCTGCCACGCCCACCAAGCCACGTCCACAGAACCGGTAGTAATTTTTTTAAAATCCCACCACTGATTCCAACCATTGCATCACCACAGCTTTGTATCTATCTATGTCTGGTAAACCTCCTGTCAGGGCCCAGATATTTCTACGGGGATGCTGGCATTTTGGTAGGAGGAATGGGGGGAGGAATGGAGTGGCCTGTATATGAAGTTTCTATTTCCTGCATTACTGTGATAATCTTTATATGAAGTGTTTCTGTTTCCCTGCAATGATGTAGTATGGGAGGGTTGGGTTAGCATTGCTTTAAATAGCTGGTTTTAAATGAGAAGCTTCAGTTCTTGCCTAGGTCTCTTGTTATCACAAACCTTCCAATAAAAGCTCCTTTTGGAACAACTGCAGTTTCAAGAGTCCTGCTTTCTTGGGAAGATTGGAGAGGCAAGACTTTACACCTCCACTGCAAAAAAGTCTAAATGAGCAGAATAGTAATAAAAAACAAAGTAGCAGAGCCAGAGAGCTCTCAGTGTTTTTTGGGCCTCTGGATCTTTCTTTCCTTTATTCCTCCTGTAACCCATTTTCCTGTAAATCATTTCTGATCAGGAAAAGAGACTTTTGTTCTGTCCCCGTCTCACACACGCACACAAACAGTCAGCCAGGAGTTAATAAAACCAGCAGTCAGGAATTCCTTTGAGATAACAGAATTGGCAGCAAACCAGTAGCTGCCTGCCAAAAACTTTACTCACAAAGGGAGGTTTTTCTCCTCTGTCCGATAAACCAAAATAAGTCCACAAAGCCAAAGAATTGTCAAGTCCAGTCCATAATAAATCCAAGGAGGGCATATAACAAAGTTCCAGAAATGCAGTATGACTTGCTAGCTTTTCAGTTTTGTCCGTCACAAGGCCTGAATGGCCACCACACCCCCTTTTAAACCCTGTGGGGTGTGGTCCAGTGACTCAGCTTAATCTCTGGCACACCTCCTTCTCTGCTGCATGCGCTTGTCTTTCCGACGCTGTCGGGGATCCAGCCAAGACTCATCTCCGTCACTGTCTAACTGTGGCTGCTCGGAAGTGCCTGGCTCCTGGCCTATCTCTTGGCCTTCGGAGGACACCTGAGGAATTGCCAGAGAGGAGGGTCCTGGAGAGGGAGGCCTTGCTAACTCCTCTCCTTCACTTTCAGAGTCTTCTCCCTCTGATAAGATGGGCTCGGGGGTTGGAGTCACAACAACTTTCCCCTCTCGCATTTGGTGCACAATTGCATGTCTTCCTCTGTCTCAATCTGATCTTCTCAACATACACCAACTGATAATGTACGCACATAAAAAATAGCTGGATTCCTGGCTGACAGATTTATCAATGTTTTGATTGAGGGAAAAACAGAGTTGGCGATCTTTCTTACATTGAAAACCACAATAGCAATGGAGGTTCCCAATGACTGGCCTTTCTTTCTACAGCACATTGACCAGGTCAACTGGAGCTGAACAGATCCTTGTCTCTGGGTAATCTATTCCTGGGGTCATCAATAATGGTTTGTCCCAGTAGTGGGTTTCAAAATTTTTTAGTACCAGTTCTGTGGGTGTTGCTTGGGGGGGCATGGCATGGCTTGGTGGTCATGGCTTGGTGGGCATGTCAGGAGAAGGATATTGTAAAATCTCCATTCCCTCCTCACTCCAGGGGAAAGTTATTCCAAAATCCCCATTTCCTCCTGATCAACTGGGACTCGGAAGGCAGAGAATAGATGGGGGCGGGGCCAGACAGACATGGTATTTACCGGTTCTCCTAACTACTCAAAGTTACTGCTATCTGTTCTCCAGAACTGGTCAGAACCTGCTGAAACCCACCTCTAGTTTGTCCTTTTTATTGCCCCATACACAGTGAATCATTCCATCACTATCTTTGTAGGTTGTCTGCAACAGAAAGGGAACAATTATATCATCTCTGAGAGAGAGAGATAATGCTTATGGCAAATGCCCTTGAAATTCTAAGGAAAAGATTCTTGATTTCAGATGCATCAGAATGTGACCCCTGCCCAGAAGACCAATATCCCAACAAAGACAAGTACCGGTGCATTGCCAAGAAGCTCCACTTCCTTGCCTATGAAGACAGCCTGGGATACACTTTAGTCTCTCTCACACTGTTTCTCTCTGTAATCACTTCTGCAGTTCTGGTGATTTTCCTTAAGCATCGCAATACACCAATCGTCAAGGCCAACAACCGAGATCTCACCTACATCCTCCTGGTCTCCCTCCTGCTCTGCTTCCTCTGCTCTTTCCTCTTCATTGGTCAACCAGGGAAGGTCACCTGTCTCTTACAACAATCTGCCTTTGCCATTCTCTTTTCCCTTGCAGTTTCCGCTGTGTTGGCAAAAACGGTCATGGTGGTTCTGGCCTTCATGGCCACCAAGCCAGGGAACAGCACCAGGAAACTCTTAGGAAAGCCATTGACCAACTCCATTGTCTTAGGCTGTCCCCTTGTCCAAGTACTTCTTTGTGCCCTCTGGATTGTAACCTCTCCCCCATTTCCCAACTTCGACTTTCACTCCTTGTTTGGAGAGATCATCTTGGAATGCAAGGAAGGCTCAGCTTTAATGTTTTATACTGTCCTTGCCTACCTGGGTTTTTTGGCTTTCATCAGTTTCACGGTGGCCTTTCTGGCTAGGAAATTGCCTGATAGTTTTAATGAAGCCAAATTCATCACTTTCAGCATGCTGGTCTTTTGCAGCGTTTGGATCTCCTTCCTCCCCACCTACCTGAGCACCAAAGGGAAGTCCATGGTGGCCGTGGAGATCTTCTCCATTTTGGCCTCTGGGGCTGGTCTCTTGGCTTGCATCTTTTTCCCCAAATGCTACATTATCCTATTCAGGCCCCATCTGAATTGTAGAGAAAATATGATAAGAAACAAGAATTCCTAATCAATGCAGTGATAGGCCACATTTATATTTATTACTGAGGCATTTTTAGAATGTAATCACATTTCTTTTAAAAAAAAATGATGACAGAAAGAAGGAACATGTTCATTAAAAAATGTCTTATTGTAAAATCCATACAAGTGGTTACAATATGCTTGTTGTCAGCAACAATCACCCAGCCTCCCCCCCCCCATATCTTCCAGTTATCCTCAATGGGGCCCAATGTCATGCCTGGAAATAATGCTTGGTAATAAAGATGTGTTTATTATTTCAAGAAGGACATTTTCTCATTTTATTCTTTTAATTTAAAATGTTAATATGTTAGCGTTTTAAAGGATCAGGTTAATGGTCAATGTTTTAAGCATATGTGTTAGTTTCCATAGTCTTCTGAGGCTTTGTAGAATTTCCTGCTACTGTTCAATTTTATTTCATTTTTTTGAAATGGTGAACTTTAAATCCTCACTTATCCACCTTCTTCTGCTGCCTCACCAAAATGAGAGAGTTTCCTAGGTGGGTGAAAATAATTATGTCAGTAATGTTGTCCCCAATTTGGGTGTGAGCCTGGTGCTGAAGCCAATGAGGTGCAGGTTTTCTGTTTGCTTTTTAGAATAGCATAAAATAGAATTTTTTATTGGCCAAGTGTGATTGGACACACAAGGAATTTGTCTTGTTGCATATGCTGCCAGTGTACATAAAAAGAAAAGATACATTTGTCAAGAATCATAAGATACAACACTTAATGATAGTCATAGGGTACAAATAAGCAAATCAGGAAACAATATCAATATAAATCATAAGGATATTGGAGTATTCCAAAGAAAAGAGCTCCTGGCCAAAATGCCAAGAACCAAGAACAAAGGATTAAGTAAGCTTTATACATTTTCACTAAAAGAGAAGGCGGGACAAGACGAGAAATATCATCTAATAAACATTTTAGTAATAATTCTACAATTTGTTCTATTGGCCTCTAGCTGTCCTTATTCCTAAGCCTTGGCTAATGAATGCCCAGGAGTTATCTAATACACATTTTATTGGCTGCAGGCCATCTGTATTCCTAATTTTTATCTGAGGCCTGCAACTTCTCTAACTCTTTTTACTTTTATCAGCTTTCTAACTACCCAGAATTGTTACAAGATTTACACATGCATATTTCCCGTAGATAAGCATTCTTTTTTCTTGCTAGACACACTCCCCAATTACAGGTTTCCTGCTTTACTTTCAAGTGTGTGTTATGATCTGGCTTTATTTTAGCATTCAGCCCATCAGTAGTGTATGCATTGTTTTGACTATTTATGTCATCTCTTAAAACTTCTTGGTAAATCATAGAGCACTGTGGTAATTTCATATTATAATATACTATGATATGATACTCCAGAAAAAATAATTGTAACCAGTCTGCCTTCCTGTATCCTGCATGAGCCAGAAAGAGGGCTGCGAAAATTTCTACAGACCTCTCGCATGCTGGACATAAACTGTTTCAACTTCTTCCCTCAAGATGACGCTATAGAGCATTGCACACCAAAACAACCAGACACAAAGACAGTCTCCCATCCTTCCCGGTGCTATCATTCTGTTAAACAACTAATTCCCACAACACTGTTTTATGTCCTGGGATGTCAAACCACCTAATTTGGCTAGGTTTTGTAGAGGTGAGCCTATGGAGCTGACTACGGGTCTAAGTGGGATTTCTTCTTTGTGTATCTTGGGGAGACCATAGAGCTTAGGGCATCTGGATGATTTCTCTCTTATTTATTTGTTTCAATTTGTATACCGCCCTTCTCCAGCAGGACTCAGGGTGGTGAACAGCCAGAATAAAAACAGAACATACAAAATTTAAAAACAGTTTAAAATAATTAAATATTTTTGGCTGCAATTTAAAACAAACCCAATTAAAATCAGTTAAATTTAACCAAAAACTGTGGGATCAAGCCAGCCCGGCTAGGTGAAATAAATAAGTTTTCAGGGCCCGACGAAAAGTCCGGAGGTCTGGTATTGTACATATCTCTGGAGGGAGGTTGTTCCAGAGGGCGGACGCTGCCACAGAGAAGGCTCTCCCCCTGGGGTTCTCCAGCCGACACTGTCTGGCGGACGGCACCCTGAGGAGGCCCTCTCTGTGTGAGCATACTGGCCGGTGGGAGCTATTGGTGGCAGAAGGCAGTCTCGTAGATACCCCGGTCCTAAGCCATGGAGTGCTTTAAAGATGGTCACCAACACCTTGAAGCGCACCCGCAAGAGCCTTGGTAGTACAGGGGTTTAAGGCACCCTGTTATTAAGCTTATTAAGACCAGCTGCCTGCAATTACTGCAGGGTTCGAATCTCACCAAGGCTCAAGGTTGACTCAGCCTTCCATCCTTTCTAAGGTAGGTGAAATGAGGACCCAGTTTGTGGGGGCAATAAGCTGACTTTGTATAAATATACAAAAGTATGAAGGCTATTGCTGAGCACATTGTAAGCCGCCCTGAGTCTTCAGAGAAGGGCGGCATATAAATCAAATTTAAAAAAAAAAAAAGACCACCGGGAGCCAGTGCAGCTCGCGCAGGAGAGGTGTCACATGGGAGCACCCCGTCGCTCCCATAATCCCCCGCGCAGCCACATTCTGGACCAGCTGGAGCCTCCGGGTGCACCCCAGGGGGAGCCCCATGTAGAGAGGGAATCTGGGAATGATTCTTTGCTGGATCTCTTCGCTGATGGGGAGGCTTTTATTTTGGATCTAGTTGTTTTTTCCAGGTAGGTGGTGGGATCTGTGTTTAGGAGTTTGTATGTGGAGTCCGAATTTCTTGCCATACAACTACAGCCCTATGCAGAATCCATCACCTCACACATAAAAAACTCATTCCAGTTCATAGAGATCATAAACAAACAAAACTTACAGCCCAGCGACCTATTTGTGAGCTTCAATGTCATATCCCTCTTCACCCAAGTGCCAATCAAAGAAGCCTTGATAGCTATCCAAAACATATATAAACCCCCCAAGCACATCCTAGATCTGACCAACCACTGCCTATCCAACACATATTTCATCTATAAAGGACAAAAATACAAACAAATAGAAGGAGCACCCATGGGATCACCCCTCTCACCTGTTATCGCAAACCTCTACATGGAAGATTTTGAAACCCAAGCCCTTGAAAAATTGGATAACAAACCCAAACTCTGGCTCAGATATGTAGATGACACCTTCATAATCTGGCCACATGGGAAAGAAAAACTGGACAACTTCCTCACACACCTCAACAGCCTACACCCCAAAATAAAGTTCACCATGGAAACAGAAGCTAACAACCAACTTCCCTTCCTGGATGTCTTAGTCTACAAGAAATCCAATGGCTCCCTAGGACACACCATCTACCAGAAGAAAACACACACAAACCGCTATCTGCACGCACTCTCACACCACCACCCAGCACAGATCAACTCCGTAGCCAAGACACTCATCTCCAGAACAAAACCCTTAGCTGATGAACAATACCTAAAAACTGAACTACATACTCTCACTAACGTACTAACATCCAACGGATTCCAAAGAAACAAGATTATCAACCTAATCCAAAAAGAGACACCCACTAAAATCCAAGACAAAGAACAAGAAAACAGCAAAGCCCTCCTCCCATACATAAAAGGCACCACAGACAGAATCAGCAAGATCCTCCACAAACACAATATCAAGACAGCATTCTGCACAAACCCAAAAATATCCACCATCCTAAGAAACCTCAAAGACAAAATCAAGTTAGAAAATCAAGGAGTATATGAAATCCCATGTACCGCCTGTCCCACCACATACATCAGACAAACCAACAGAAGAATAAATGCACGTATTGAAGAACACAAAAACTCAGTCAGAAAAGAGGAACTAACTTCTTCCCTAGTCCAACACCTTAAAGCCACAGGACATGAAATCGATTAAAATGAAATAAAATGAAAAATGAAATGGAATTTAAAAAAAGCCAAAACTATTGCCAAAACTGAACACTTTAACAACAGAATAATCAGAGAAGCCATCGAGATAGAAAAACGTCCCCACAGCATGAATAAAAGAGATGATACCTCCTGCTTACCAGCCATTTGGAAACCCGCCCTTATTGACAAACGAATCCCAAACACAAAGAATAACACCAGACCTACACTCATGAAAACCACACAGGATGTCACCTTCACACATCCACGCAAAAAGCAAGCCCAAACTCACACCGATGATGAGGCACGACCACATACCAGAAGCCAGACCACAGCTGCATCATTAACCACTTTAAACCCCTCCAATCTATACATGAAGCAAACTGACACACACCATGAAGATGTAGCACGACCATGAACGTGGAGCCAAACAAAAGCAACGCAGGCCACGAGTTCAAATCCCCCTGTAACTCAGAGCAATCTGAGCAGCCAAGCCCCCACCCTATCAGAACACACACCCAGGCAATCAGAGCACAGCCAACCCTCCCACCCAATCAGAGCACAGCCAAGCCCCCACCCTATCAGAACACACCTCCACCCAATCAGAACACAGCCATGCTCCCACCCAATCAGTTCATACCCCCATTGGCAGTTAAAAAGAAGAAACAACCACGATCACACATTGCTCCTAGAAGCACAAGGCCGAAGACACCAGCCTGAAGATGATGAATGAGACTTTGTCGAAACGTCGCCAAGGTACTTCCAATTTTACGCGGAAGAAAACCCAAATAACCAAAGACCTACATACAAATACCCACAAAAACCTCAGAAAACATATATATGTATTTCTCTTTAGCCAGGTTCTTCCTACGTAAACCAAAATTTTTATGAGCCCTAGTTCAGTGAAATCACAATCCACTAGTTTCTAGGCTTTTTTCAGGCAGCCAGCAAGCTCCCTGCTGCCCATTGGGAGACTAAGGAGACTAAGATAGATCTATTTCGGATTTATTAGTTCTCATCAGTTAGCCATACCCTCATCCCATGTATCCTCCCTGTAAAGGTACAGTATTTGTTTTCTTTTCTTTTCGTAGGTCTTTATGTGTATT